ACATAACATACTAGACTAAGATTAATCTTTAAGAGAACTCTACATTTATGGTCCTCCAAGCTGCTGTAAGCCCGCAGAAAAGTCCAAATTTCTAATGGGTTTGATACAATCAGTCTTAAGTTACCCCACAGCCCCCAGGGCAGGGGGGGGGGGGGGGTAAAGCACTGTGTTCAGGGTAGATTCCCTGGCTTTGAGGTGAGAGGGAGGATGAAAGGACTCAGGGCAGCTTCAAAAGAGCAAGGGCCAGCGATGCCTTGAGCACGGCGGCTCAGGGGCACCCTGAGCTGCGACCGCAGCCGAACGAGAGCAGCCAGGAGACAGGGTCCCCACTATTATCAGCACGGGTCTTCCCCCTCCTCCTAACAGTTGCTCAGCGTGTCTTGGCAACAGCTAAAACTATTATATTACACATGACTTACAGATTCTTATTTTTAAGTTTGACTAAAAATAAAATCGCCAAGCTCACATTTGCGCAGTCATCCTTGGTTAACTTTAGCTCACTGTAGCCTTCTGCCCTGGGCAGTCAGCTTTGGTAGGTACGTCTGCAGCTCCTGGCCGAGGCGGCTGCCTGGGGTCACCGTGGGGGGACGCCCTTGACGTGGGGCGCTCATCCCACTCTCCTTGCCACAGGGAGCTTGTGCTGGGCTGGGACCGTCCTTCAATCTCTCATGGAGACGGACATGAGCTGCAAACACAGAATTTAAATACACTGCCATGGGGAAAAGCTGGGAGCAGAGGGTTGGCCCCTCTACCTGCAACAGAGCAGGGAGCTTGTACGTGGGACCAAATAGGGACAGTCTTTTTTTTTCTGTGACGGACAAACCAGTCTCTCTCAAACTAGTTGTTCCAAAAGCCCGAGGCGTCTCCACATCAAAAATACTGCTACGAAGCTGTATGAAACCTGGTGAAGTTTCACTCTGCAGGAGCTGAAGCAAAGGTTTTGTTCTGCTAAATAGTATTGAATCACTGAGTTTTGGGTAACCTCCAAAGTTGAAGCTAACATCCTTCAAAAATATCAAATACTAAATCTTTTGGGGTTGTTTTTTTTTGGTGTGTGTGTAAATCTTTCATATGGCTGACTTCATCATCACTGGTAACAAAAGGGCTGCCCAAAATCTCCTGGAGAGCACAGGAGGAATGAACAACCTTAACGGAGACAAGGGATGAGACAGCCATAGAGTGGTGAACACTGCCCCACTTTTCCAAGGCCAAGTACTTCATGGTGAGACTTTGAACTCTAACAGACACGGGACTGGATTTGCAGAAATGCCAATGTGCAGCATTGTCCTGGTTTCAGCAGGGATAGAGTGAATTTCCTTCCTAGTAGCTGGTACAGTGCTGTGTTTTGGATTTAGGAGGAGAACAAAGTTGATAACACACCGATGTTTTAGTTGTTGCTAAGCAGTGCTTACACTACCCAAGGACTT